GCAATCAAAATGGTAGCGGGACTTTTGCCCCACCCTGTACATATTTAGAAATAAAAAATAATTCTATTATACATATACAAATATATACACACACACATACAGGGTGAATCAGAGTCGTTGAACTAACTTTTTATTCTATGAGAAAATTATCGACTTCATATCCAATTGAATTATAACGTGTGCAGTCAATTATTTTTTCATAGAGTAAAAAGTTGGTTCAACGACTCTGATTCACCCTGTATATGTCTTATATACGCATATCTTTAATTATTAATAACTTTTATATATAATATTGATTTACATTATATTTCTTAAAAATATTCAAAAATAATAATATTCTTAAAAATATTAATAATTTTATTATACAGTAGAGCAAGAAAGCTACAGTATTGACTTATTAAGCGATCAGATCTTTTCACTACAAAAAAATATAAAAGACACAGAATTCAGTTTGGTCGCAATTTCGAAGTGTGATAAAGAGAAAATAAAGGTATATAACTTCTACAAATAGATTTTTAAGTATTTTTCTCGCATGTACGCACGCATACGTGTACGTACATTTATATGTATAACTATACCATTGATGTGTAATTATATAATTTATGTTATATATAGAAAACATTAATTACTATGTGCGAACCAAATGACATTGATATTATTATTTTAACTGGCAAAATAACTATGTTCTCGATGTTAAGCGATGCAGCTAATAAGATTATTGATAACGATATTCCTAATGAGATAAACGAATTGATATCAAACCTAACAGAACAACTACAGTGTTCATTTAGTCGGTAAAATTCTGTTTCCATTTATCCTGTGGTTTTCGAGATTATATGTAGCTTTTATATAATATTAACTATTTATATACATATACATATATATGTTCTCAGATTATTATGTGGAATACGACATCAGACACTTATTATTACTGCATGTGATTTCTATCCAAATATAACATTAATTTTCAAGAAACATCAAACATTTATAAGGTATACAATAGATTTGATGGCTGAATATGAAGAGACAAGAAATTCCAAAAGTAATGATAATTCTGAGACGTTTAATAGTGACTCTGATATGACTTCGCCGCTTATCGAATACGAAATGGTAAAGCATCTTCTACGCTCGAAGAAATAAAGTAAATTTTCTTAGAGACTGCGTACACACAGATCATAATTAATTCTCGTTATAGGAAAAAATGTTAATAATGATGAAGTTTTTTAAAAAGAATTTTTCAGAGAAAAATATTATGATGTCAGTGGAGCAAGCAATAGATCTAATAAGAGTTATAGTACATAAAGACAAATATTTTAAAATAAATATACAACATGTGAACATAATTGACGCTTACAACAGAGTATTGGCCGTTGATGTATTCAATAAGACAGATTGTCCATCTTATACGACTTCCGCTAAACATGGATACGCAATGTTTACCAGCAACGGGACCTGCGGAAAGGACGTAAGAAAAGTGTTAAAAGCACATCCCGTGGTAAGACTCGCTAAATTCAATAATCCAATGAATGACGGCTCGCACCATTTCGTTGACATATGGGTGGGATTATTAATTTTTCTATGTTGTCTAAAGTGTGAAAGCAAATGTTAGATATCATTAAGGGGCAAATTGTATAAACAGAAATTTTTCAGAAAGCAATTCTGCCGAATTAATCATCGATTAAGTTAGACAAAAATTTTAATCGTCAAAACTAGATCTTTACATGATGCCGTTTCTTTTCTAGTTTGCAGACATTTCTGTTGTACCTGGCATTTGCGTACGAGTAAGAAGTGGAGATCCTATACCAAAAGGTAAAAATAATTACAACTGCAAATTAAAACTTGCTTGATTATAGTGGAGAATTAATTACTGCTTTTATGCGCGATTGCAGGAGCAAATACGGTTGTAACGCCAGAGAATATAAAGATATTGGACTGCAACGATAATGATGATTATTTTAATATCGACGATAAGGAATATGAAATTGAAATCTTGGTCGCCCCAAAAGTAAACGAGAATATTAGGTATACGAAGATAGTTCGATATCATTTAACATAGTTTTTAAAGCATTGTTTTATTATCATAAAACAATTTGTTCATTTTTAAAGAAACGCTGGGTACTTGATAAAACGTAACGAACACGTTATGAAACCCTTCAAACGTATCGGATCATTGGAACTGGGCATTTTGAAGTTATGTGACCTTAATACAGTTCCAGTCATCAAAGTTTTTTCTATAGGTGTATTCTCTATTGGAAGCAGTGTTGAAGAATCTGAAAACACTTTAGGACGTATCTACAAAAGCAACAGAATAATTTTAACCTCTTTATTGAAAGAGAACGGTTACAATCTCACGGACTTTGGAATTTCGGCTTATCAGTGAGTGCAATTAAAATCTATTGCATTTACTCTACCTACTGTAAAACACGATTTGATTTACAAATAATTAATGTCATCGTTGATGTTAATTAATGTAACGATCATGTTCTCGCACAGATTGGATGCCATAATAAAAAAAATTGAAGATGCTTTGGATAAAGTCGACATACTCGTGATAATGGGCTCTATGAACGACAAAGATATATTAAAGATAATCTTAAAAGAACGTTTTCATGCTGATATACATTTTGGTATTCG